ATCACACCCATGGAGTCAGAAACAGGATCAGGACGGTGGGAAGGTTGAGCCCCCATCCTTGGCCTCAATATGGGGTGAAATAACCGAGCAACACGGTGGGGAAACGTGAGACAGAGGAAATCACGGCACCGGTGGCACGGAGCAGGGAACAAAGCAGCTCTTGAACCTCTCTCAGTCCCCGACCGTGGTGCCCCACGAGCCTGGCTGGGGTGAGAGTTACAGAGGGGACTTGAAATCCACACATTTAGCACAGAAACCCAGCACGGCATGCTCTGCATCCCCCCAGCCGGACCACGGCAGCTAGTTCCTACCTGGCTCCTCGATAACGTAGAGGATGGACTTGCCGCTGGAGTCCTCGTAGTACTGGAACCGCACCACACAGTCGTCCTCGTCCTTGTAGGTGCAGTTCACGGCGTCCTTGCCCCTGTCGCCTGCCAGAGCGAGGTGCTCAGACCCCCCCACGCCAGGGGATGCACACGCAGAGGGTAAGTGGACATATGCAGCCCCCTGCATTTCCACGCTTTAGGGCAGGGGTTCGGGTCTCCTTTCTTACCCAGTTCCTGCACCGTCTCGATCTCGTCGCGGCACATGCGGCTGCAGGACTGCTGCTTTTCCAGCATTCCCCGCTCAAACTTCTTGCATTCCACGCAATCCCTGAGGAAGAGGAGGGAGGTACTGTGAGCTCCTCCATGCTCTCCCTAGGGAAACGGTCACACTTTTTGGTCTCAGCCTGCGGAAATCGTCGCAATTCCAACCCAACCGGGCTGCAGCCGGTGAGAGCTCCTGCCAGCACCGCTGCTGGCTCCCCGATGGTGTACGGCCCGTCCCACCTCTCTGCCCTCTCTCACTTTTTGATGGTGCAGGCGTCCGGGCACGTGGGACACTTCTCGCAGGTGTCGCCGTAGGAGCCGGGCTGGGTGCAGTCGCATTTGCCGCAGACGCAGGAGCCGTGGCCGCTGCACACCAGCCCGTTGCTGGACATGCACGTGTCGGTGCGGGTGGTGCAGTTGCAGTAGTCACCGGTCCAGTCTGAGTCACACAGACAGTCCCCGCAGCTGCACTGCCCGTGGCCTGGGGACAACCCAGAGGGCATCAGGACCCTCAAGTGTCCCCTTGGATCTTGTTAGCAGTCACCCATACGGGATGCCCAGGTACCCAGAGTGGCAGCTCCACCTCCGTGGGCACGGCAAGGCAGACCAGCTGCCCAGGACAACCCCTTTTCACCATCCTTGGGGTGGGACACACGGCAGCTCACACCTTCATCATGTCCCCACCACTCCCCTTATTCCACCCAAACAAGAAGACGCTGCTGAATTTCAGGCTGAGCTGCCCCAGCTCTGGCAGGTTGGCAGCAGCAGCTGGAGATGCTCAGTCAGATCTGTCTCTGAGCTAGTCAAGCTTTGGCTTTGGCTTTTAATTTCAGATTGAGTCAGCACATCTGGTCAAACCCCCCAAATCAAGCCCCAGACCAGGCGGGGAAAGCCGACTGCTGGGAAAAGCCCCACAAGCTCCGCACGCTCGCCGAGACTGGTTTAATCAGACAGACAGGCGTGCTCAAATCCTGCCAAAGCCTGGAGCTATTTGGATTGCGGTTTGATTTCAGCTCAAAGACAAGACATGGTGAGTGGTGGAAATGCCGTGGAGCCGAAACACGCTGACCCGTCCCAAGCCCCGAGTGCGCCGGGGCACATCGGCAATGGCTCCCGGCGCGGGATCGGCTGGGCACCCTCCCCGCCACGGCCTCGGGGGCACCAGCATGAGAAATAAATGTGTAACCCTGTTAATGAGGAACTAGGACTGAGTCACAGGAAAATAGTGCCACGCTGGGTGACAAGGCATGGAAACAGTTGGGGAGGCTGGAGAGAAGTGGCTCAGTGGGACAGGATTGATGCTGGCAGGGTCAGACAGATCGGGTTAATTAACAGCTTGCCCAGTCTGGGGGCAATGCTTCATCGTCACCCTTCACCCGCCGGATCCGGCAGCCGTTGTGCAAACAGGTAGTGGGAGCAGGGACAGGCGCCCGGCTCCCCGAGGGCACCGACTGTTCAGGGTGGGGGAAAACCCCAGCGTTTCCACCTCCGTTATCAGCCGGCTGTTAAGATAAAGGATCAATCCCAGCAGCACAGAGGCAGCCGTGAGCCATGAAGTTGAGCTGGGGGGCAGGTGGGGTCCGAAAAACTCGATTTGGGGACAGTGGGGAGCAAGAACTGAGTGTCATCTGGCCAGCAGGTTTCATCTCACCCAGGCTGGGCTCCAGCAGAGTGGGATCAGCTTTGGCCACCGATATTTTCCTGGGGATTTTTGAGCTTGCAGCAGTAAAGCGATGGCTTTTTTGGCAGTTAGCAGCCACCTCGCCTGGCCTCATGGAGGGAGGCTGGGGATAGGAAAGGGGTTGGCTACCCCTCTCTCGTTCCCCGCCTTGAATCACTTTTGGGGTGCTCTGCTCCTGGAGGGGATGTGCCACAGCTTCATGCCCCAGTCCTGGGCGCTGCCTCTCACATCCCCTGAAAAACCAGGAGATGGGGCAGAGCGCTGGGGTTCTCTCAGACCTCCAGCACTTACTGGAGACATGGGTGGGATAAACCCTAGATGGGGGTTCCCGACGGGCAAGAGGCCCTGGCCTCTCCTCCATCAGGACATGTGAAACCGCTCCTGGGACCCGGGACGGGTGTTTTGCAGAGAGGGGCTCCTTCCCCGGTCCCTGGCGTGGGAGGAGCACCCGAGGACCTGGCCCTCTCTCCCCAGTACTGAGAGCAGCAGCAGCCGGGGCTGGAGTCTGGTAGCACATGGAAGAGATGAATATTCAGGAGGGCCATTGCTGTAAGACCAGTGAGGGGGGAAAGATTTGCTTCCCCACCTCTTTTGCCAACAGGGAGTCTTCAAGAGCTGGGTGGAGGATAAAACTTGCCTCTCCCCACCCCTCTCCTCCACCCTGGGGTTTCCTCCTGCAGAACAATACTTCTGATGTGTGAGGGGCTGTGATTTGAGCAAGGTTTGGCCAGTCCCTGCCTTGCATACCCCAGAGCTGCTTCCCTGGGTGCCCACCCCAATGGGACTCCTGAGTCTAAGCAGGGACTGAGGTCTGCTTTTAACCCTCAGAGCCCATCACCCTGCCATGGCTTTTGGGCACAGAAGGTGATACAAGCTGCCAAAAAGGGAGTAATTCCCCCCAGCATTGCTTCAGACCTACGGCTGGGCCCAAGAGCGTGCCACGGCTGAGCAAGCCAGAGGTGGGGACAATGCATGGGACAAGCCCCAAAATAGTTGGTGTCTCCCTCATCCATGAGTTTGGTGTAAACGCCCTAAGCTGCCTCCCCTCCAAGCCCAGCACTCACCCGAGCACATCTGGCCCTTGAAGCGGACGCAGGAGAAGTCGTCGCACTCACAATACTTGCCCGTCACCTTCCCGAAGTCGCTGCTGTGGCACACGCACTGCCCGCAGATGCACTCGCCGCGCTGGCTGCAGAGGGGCTGGCCCGGCTGGGGGCTGCAGTTGTCCTGCTGCGAGGGGCTGTACTCCTCCTCCGAGCACTCGCAGTGCGAGCCCAGGCGCCCGGGGTTGCAGCGGCACACGCCGCACTCCAGCGTGCCGTTGCCTTGGCTGCAAGACGAGCTGTTGGCCTCGGCTTGGCCCTCGCAGGAGCAGTCACAGTTGAAGTTCACCACCACTGTCAGGGTGTCCTTGAAGCCCACGGGTTTGATGGTGAAGGATTTCTGCTGCTCCCGTGGGCAACCCCGTACCTTGGCCTCGATGCTGAAGCTCACCTGGAGGGCAGGAGGACACATCTGGGTGTCAGTACCCCTGGCACAGTATCAGGGTACCCGCTCCAGGCTGGGCTCAGCTCCTCATCCATGCCCAAGCTTAAGCAGCCCAGAAATGGGACCCACCAGGTCTCTCTGGGCTTTTCAAAGCTGTCCCAGCATGGTTTGGGTCAGGGCACCTGCCTGCCACAGTAACCAGGCTAAATCAGTCAAAAAGTCCGTGCACTATGGCCAGCAGCCTGGGCTGAGCTAGAGGACCACAGAGTTTGCATCCAGCAGACTCATAAAAGCATTTTCCTCCTTGCACCAACCCAGCTGGACCCCTCTCTCCACTGCAAAGAGCTTACGGCGTGCCCTGCAAGGGTCTGCGTCACCCAGGAGGTGGTGGGGCAAGCAGACGGTGCTGGTGGAGAGCACCAGACGAGCTGGCAGCGCTGCTCCATAGAGGGGGAGAAAAACCAGGCACATGAACAGGATCCTCACCGTGTCCCCGATCTTGAGCCCCATGCAAGACTTGAGCCCGGGGATGACCTCGTCGTTGAGGCAGGTGGCATTGAAGGCCAGGGACAGCTCTTCGGGGAGGTCACGTACCTCCAGCTCCACCTTGGAGCGGATTTTCTGGGGGAGGAGAGAGGAACGATGAAGAAGACAGCACAGGCTGGGCAGGGCTCTGTCCCAGGGAGGGGTCTCCCCGAGCACCGCGGCGATGCTCCCAGCACTTGGGAAAGGAGCCAAGTGCCCCGAGTCTCTCAGGACTCTGCTACGTCATTCCCCACAGGGAAATGCCTTCGAGGATGGGAAGGGGTTGGCAGCGAACGTGGTGACCTCCCTTCCCCGGGGTCCCCACATGCGTGAGTGGAGGCAGATGCTCACAGCTGGTCCAGGGAGGATGCTCGGAGCTGGGGGAGCTGCCAAATCTGTGTGGGCTGCTTGCAGTGTGAAGCAGTGGCTATTTTGGGAGGGAGAGAGCTGTTGTGGGGCCATTACACTGCATACTCACCCCGTACGAGTCCACTATGAGCTGCAGGACATTGCTGGAGTCTCTGGACAAGGTGCCCACAGTTGTGCCTGGGATCAGCTCACTGTAGTTCTGGAGAAATATCATAAGCATGGTCTGCTTGCGAGGGGTAAACGTGCCACAGCTGAGCCAAACTGTGTCTGGGCACATGGGAGCTTCCCAAGGAGCTTTGATAGGACAGAAGGCCACTGGGTTATATCTGGCCACCCATGGCCAGCTGCAAAGGGTGCTCCTCGGGACCCACCAGCCCCCCAGCTGGCTTTGCACAGCAGCTGTTACCTGGTAGAGGCCCACGACTGTATCCGTCACAGCAAAGATCAAGTTGATGTTCTTCTGCGAGAGTTTCTCGGTCATCAGGCCCAGAGAGGGATAGTCCTGGGGAAGGAGAGAGGCTATACCCTGGGAACATGTACCCCCAACCGCCCTGGTCCCCCCATGCTCTCCAACCAGGGCTGGACCACCTATCCCATCCCATGGGGACCCTCAACAGGAGCTCCAGGCTCCCCAACCCCACGTGTGGGTCAGGGTTTACCAGCGTGGTGGAGGCCGAGTAGAAATTATCCTTGTCAATGTGGCACTGGGCGTCGTTGGGCTGCACGATGCCAGCCAGCCTGCCATCCAGTGCGATGTGGGTCTTGGCGTCCGTGGTGAAGACGAGCAGGTGGGAAGCGTCGTTCCTCCAGCCTATTTTCTCCTACCGTGAAAGGCAGCTCCCAGTCGTGTGGCAGCGTGTGCCGAGGGCAGCCCTACGTGCCAGCACCCCGCTGCTGCCTTCGCTGCCACCCCGGGTCACGGCTTGGCCGTAGGGACCAACCTGCCACTGCAGAAGGAACCGAGGGCAATCCGTCCCCCAGGGGAGTGCTGTGTGTGTGGGGGGGTGGGCTGTGGAACCTGGCAGGTGGGCATGGGCTGCTTGTACAGGTGAAAGACAGGTTTTAATTTGCTAGAGTGTTAATCAAGGTGCTTAATGGCTGAGGGATGCAACCCCTCCCATCTCCAGCAAAAGCAAGGTGCAGGCACAGGAGAAGATGTCCCTTCTGGGCTGGTTACTGCAGGGCTGACATGGGATCATCATCAGTCCCCAAACACCTGCTCTGCTCCTCTCTCCTCCCAGGACCACACAAGGGTCCTGCTCTTCCCTTGCCTTGGCTACTGGCCTAGAAATGTCCTTGTTGAACATTCACCCTGTCCAGGTCTCAGCCCTACAGCAGCTCCACAGAGCTTATGGCTTTGTCCTGGAGGGGTTGGGTGGTCCCTGCCAACCCACCAGGCCCAACCTGATGACCCTCTCCCAGTCCCAGCCAGGCTTTCTTGTCCCTTACGTCGCACACGGTGGCCTGGATGATGGCATCGAAGCCGCCCTCGGGTGCATCACGGTTCCGTGAGACACTCTGCTTCTGCACCTCCTCGTTGAAGCGAGTCACCTCGTCCGTGAGCGACAGGACATGTTTGTAGCCAAACATGGGCAGGCAGGTTTCCCCGATCCTGCAGGAGGAGAGCAGTCAGGGCATGAGGCTCACAGGGCTCTTCCAGCTCCCATCCCGCCCTGCAGCCATCCCACATCCCATGGTCCTGTTTGGGATGTGCTGGAGGGACCCAACCACCCCAAGAGCCCAAGGACACAGCCGGAGGCTGGTGAAGGACCTTTTAAAAATCAATCACATGTTCTAGTGATGCTGGGCTCAGGTCAGCTCCCAGCCTCTGTCCTGCTGGGATTTTTAGCAGTCACTTTCTTTGAGCCTCAACATCTCTCCTGAAAAATGGTGGAAAATTGTTTCCTTAAGAGCTTTTCAGTGACAATGATACTTCAAAGTTTAGACCTGCTCCTCCTCCCTGTGCCAGCAGAATCATAGAACCATTAAGGTTGGAAAAGACCTCTAAGATCATCAAGTCCAACCATCAACCCAACACCACCATGCCCACTAAACCATGGCCCTAAGCGCCTCATCTACACGTCTTTTAAATACTTCCAGGGATGGGGACTCCACCACTTCCCCGGGCAGCCTGTTCCAAGGCCTGACCACTCTTTCAGGAAAGAAGTTTTTCCTAATGTCCAGTCTAAACCTCCCTTGGCGCAACTTGAGGCCATTTCCTCTCGTCCTATCGCTGGTTACTTGGGAGAAGAGACCAACCCCCACCTGGCTACAACCTCCTTTCAGGTAGTTGTAGAGCGCGATGAGGTCTCCCCTCAGCCTCCTCTTCTCCAGGCTAAACAGCCCCAGTTCCCTCAGCCGCTCCTCATCAGACTTGTGCTCCAGGCCCTTCACCAGCTTCGTTGCCCTTCTCTGGGCATGCACATGCAGTGCAGCAAAGCTTAAACCCTGCCCAAAACCAGGCACCCAACTCCCTGCTGAAATCCATTGCTATGGATTTCCAGCCCCGTTCCATTAACTTCTGGCCCTTAAAGGACTCCTTCAGCCTGGGACTTACTCATAGCAAGGGTTTGTGATGGCTTGCGGAGGAGAGATATACATGTAGGGGGAAATGGGCTTGTCCACAAAGGCCCCAAAGCCGATGCGTAGGTTGCTGGTGAGCTTGCGCATCTCGCTGGCCAGCTTGGTGCCCAGGTTCTGGATGTTCCTCAGATCGTCCTTCATGGAGTTGGACAAGTCCATCAGGTAGTAGATGTCCACGGGGTAGTCTTCCACTTGACGCACTTGGACACGAAAGATCCGGGAGTCATCTGTAATGTGACAGGGCAGCAGAATGAGAGAGATTCTCTGCCAGGAGGAGCAAAGGGGTCTTATCACAGGACTAGGGAGAAAGTCAACCTACGGGATCACTAGGAACCCAAGGAGATGGTTTAAAGCTGCTGGGAGGAGAACATTACAGTTAAACAGACATAGAGGGGCAAAGCCCTTAGGGCAGGGTGCTTGCACGGGAGATATCCTGTGCACCCCTTGGAGATGGCAAATGTGGCTTATGGCTCCTGTTCTCCAAACTTCTCACTACCAGGACAGGAGCAGATCCTCCTGCTCAGAGCTGACCCCCCAAGCTGTCCTGCATGAACAATATGACCAACACATGCTGGATGGAGTGAGTGAACCACCCAGCGTGTGGGCAGCAGGTCTTACGGGGATTACCAGGGGGCTGCGTGGCTGCTTCGGGCTTCTCTGAGCTCCCAAGGACTCTGAGCACCTCCCAGGGCCTCCCCCAACCCTGTTCCTTCCCTCTCCTCTTGGCTCCTCCCAGCCCCTTCTGGGAAATTTTTGGTGAAATGTTTTCCATTGAAACAAAAACCTCCTTAGACAGAACCTTCTGGGGAACAGGCCAGTTTCGATGACTTTTGCACTTTGGGGGGAAAAAAACCAAAAGTGCTGAAAACACTTAGGGTTGACCTTTTCTTTCTGCTTTTTAAAGGAGACAAAGGTTCTTTCTTGCTGTTCTTTGAAACGGCTTCTTTGAAATGTAAGCTGGGGCACAGCTGCAGCCTTCTCCGAACACCTCAAATGTTGAGGAAAAAAGCTTTAATTGAGCTTAAATTGTTGTTTTCATATTTCCTTCTAAATCTGCATGTCACATTCTGACTTTTAGGATGGAGAAAGTTTCAAAATCTACGAGAGCCCAAAGAGCTCCATCCCCCCTCCAGCTGCGTTGCTGGAGCACCGCCACGTAGTCAGGGGTCCCAACTTTGTGCTCTGAGAGCATCTGTTTCTCCTTGAGCTAAAACCATGAGGACTCTGAGCTTGTGGGACATGGGCTGTGACCTGCCCTACTTATATCCTTCAGCATTTGGTCTTGATTCATGAGTCAAGGCAGATGACTCGTGCCAAGCCTTCTTGGTTGGGCAGAAATGGTATCAAGCTGGGGTTTTCTTCTACTGCTTCCAGGGAACAGGGACTTACGGCACTGCACACTGCCTCTCTTCCTCTCCAGAGCAGCTCACCTACCTGCCTCCTGCCAAATATTTTCAGACCTAAATAGAGCAAGGGCCACTTAGCAGCTACATGTCCCCATTGCATGAGGACACTTCAGAGTGCTGTCATTCAGATGGGTCAGGACTCCTCTTGGCCAGGCCCAGGGATGTGCACAGCATGCCATGTGCTATCACCCACCGATATCTGGCCTCAGGGCTTTAATGAGTACAAGGAACCAGAATTGTTCCTGATGAGACTGGAAGATTCATCCATGAGTGGATGGCCAGGGGTGGGCTATATGTGGGGCAGCGCACGGTGATGGCACCACTCGCTCCACGTTCCCCAAACCAGTTTTGTGACCTTGGGCGAGTGACGCCCGTTAGTTTTGCCTCCTGCTTGGCATCACTTGAAACTCCTCAATGCTGGCAAACAACCATAACAGTTAATTGGCTCCAGCCTGCCTGGCTGAAACGAGCCTGGGAAATTACAGAGACCTGTTGGCAGTCCAACCCTGCCAGCTGCTCTACGGCTTGTTAGACATGAGCTGACTTCCACCAAAGCATTCAGAGTGCAGCAGCAGTGGCTAAGGTCTAAATGGCTTTATAAAATAAGCCTGTGCGTTGTTGAAGTCGCATCCCGTCCTGCCCCTTGGGATACCACAGGATTGAGCCAAGAGACTGAACAGCAGAAATCTGCTTGCAGATAGCCTGTCTGCCCATTAGGGATGTTCCCGGAGGATTCGGTGCAGCCTGGCCTTGCCCCCAGTGGACACGAGACAGCCTTGGCCAGCGAGGCAGAGTGATGGCTCTCTCATCGCTTGAGCCCTTTGGGTTATTCCCACTGCATCTCCCCTTCCCACAGCAGTTTGGGGGCTCTTACCTGGCCGCAGGTTCAGCTGTATTTTCTGGGGGATCATCTGGGTGGTGGTGGAGCTCCCCGAGCCCTTGGTGCTGAGGGGTCGGTCCTCCAGGATGGTTACGGTGCTGGTGGGGAACTCGATGTACTCCTGCCCGCATCCGTTTTGCAGGAGGTTGGCGTGCAGGTCGCAGCGAGGGGATGACTGCGCCAAGACCTGCGGGAGAGGGATGTCATCAGCAGCCAGATCCCCCAGGAACCCCCGGAGTTATGCCGAGAGGAAGAGAGAGGGCCCCCTTTTCCCCGGAGAGCCCCTGCTTTATCACACCTAATGCAAGACCAGGATAAGAGGCTATTTGGGGGACACGGTCTCTGCTCGAGGGAGGTCACAGACAGAGGGGATCCAAGATCAGCAAGTCCCACAGGGGCTCACAGCAGGTTTGGGTCTGCTGTGCTCCACGGGGGAGCTCAGCAACTCCTGCCAAGGAGCAATGGATAATTTATCCCTGCCAAACTCCCTCCTGACTCCTGCCAGCTGGAGACTCAGGTTTGGTTTGTTTTTTGGCAAAGCTAAAAGGAAAGCCCGTCTACTCGGGATGGCTAGAAGAGGGTGAGGTGGGATGTGAACATGGCAGGCTGGGGGTGAGGGGTAGAGTCTAGGACTTTTTTTATTATTTTCTAAAGTTTGGCAAAAGATGAGCCCCCTTTCCCCTCAATTTTCTTGACACGTGCCCTTAGAAATCCCACCACGAACAAGGAACAGCCCTGCTGCGGGTGAGCCCATCGCATGAAGCGGCACTCGGTTCCTGTCCGAGAATGGTTCAGGCTTATCTCCAGCTCTCCAGCTTCCTGCCGGATGGAGCCGGCCGGGGGAAAGAACCAAAAAAGGAGTGAAAGAGCAAAAAGGCTGCGGGAGAAGCCGTCAAGTGCTTGTCAGGGGGAGGAAGCACAAAGTGTGGAGTCACGGTGGGGCTCCAGCCCCGTCCCTCCTTTCCTAGAAAGCTCCCGGCTCCTCGCCCTTATCACGGCGCATTCAGAAGGGCTCCCGTCCCTTCGGTTTCTCATGAAGACAAATATGGGAAGAATTTCTTTCCCAGCCCAACACTGCCAGGATCTGCTGTCGCCAGGCAGCAGCCACCCTCCCCTCCGAGGGGTTTCTCCATCTCCCTCCTACAGCCCAAATCTTTCTACATACAAAGTCCTGCAGCAGACCGGCACAGCCTTTCCCTGCAGCAAAGGAGGGTGGCACAAGTCCCGGTGCGGCTGGTTGCGCTCCCTCCCCGTTGCTGGGAAGCTGGACCCCAACACTGCAGCCTCCCAGCACTGCAGAGGTTCCCCATCCAGGATATCGGCTCCCCCAGGTTCAGGCTGGCTGAACCCAGGAATGAATTTGTGCGTTTTAAGCAAACAAGTGGAAAAGCACAAACTGGCTGGCCTACAGCCCTCTGGAAACAGTGGCCAAGCGATAGCCAGAAAACACATCAGCAGGCGTGTTCCTCCCCCACGGCCTCCCGCTCCCACCCTCACCGCCTGGACAGCAGGCTGTCGGTGAAGAAGACAAGTCATCCCTCTGAATTAGCTCCCTCGCATCCACCCACCCCGCAGGCTTGCCCCACGGGGCTCCCCGCTGTGGGAAGAGGTGCCTGGTTTTATCCAGATCCCATCAATCATCACCTACATTCCTGTCCCAGGCGGGGAAATCACTGGAAAGATATGCAGGTGAAAAGCAGGCTGGGCAGACAGGTTTTTAACTGTGGCACTGGGTGATACCTGGAAATCCAGAGGGACTCCCAGGCCCTCAAAGGACATGTAGCACCTTCTGGGATTAACAGCATCATTCCTACTGTGAGATTTCCATGGAGAAGCTATTTAACCCCAGGGCTGCATCCTTCCCCTTTCCCTGGAGCCCTCAACATCATGATTGACTCAGGACTCTCAGGAGCCTCCCCAGCAACAAAATTACTGCAGAAGGCAAAGGAAAAAGTTACTGTGCCATCGATGGGGCATTTGGCCACGAGGCTCTTGCAGCCCCCAGACCCCAGTCTATTTCCCCCGCCCCCGTAGACTTGCAGACTCAGCGACTTGGACACAGCCCCAGGTAGGAGCGACCCGGTGGCAGCCCAGGCTTGCTGGTGACAAACTCACAGCACAGGGACATCATCCACTGGGACACACCCTGCAAACCCTGCTTTCCCATCAGCATGGCCCTGACAGCATCGGCTCCCCATCACAGAGATGCTGCGGGGTGCGTGTACGTGTTCCCACCTCCTCTATCACACGCCATCCCGCAGCCCTTGGCTGAGATGCTCCCCAGCTCCACCTCCCCTCTGACCACCTCTGTCCCGCTGCAGGGAAGGAGGTTTCAGCTCAGCATCTGCTCAAGCTCCCTCCAGGATGGGAAACCGGATGATTTTATCCCCCGATTGCTGCCTCCAAACCCTCTAAGCGAGGGCAGGGTCAGGCAGGGTGCTGGCAGAGCCAGCTCCATCCCCGAGCTCCCTCTCTGCTGGGTGGGGAGGCTGCGAGAAGTCACACATCCCCAGGGCATCTCCGTTTTCATCTCGAAGGCAACCACACACAGCATCAGCTTCTCTGCAGGAGAGCTCCTGGGAAGACCCAAAGCACAGATGCCTCCACAGATTAAGCTAAAACTTTCCAGCAGCTTCTCTAAATCAAACCCTGGTCTAGCCTTGCCTCCACCTTTCCTCCAAGGGAACCAGAGCAGGTGACATTTTGGGTGGGTGAGACCCTGGGAGATCTGCTGCAATAATCTCCAAAGTGATTTGAGAGCCATGTCTCAGTGTTAAGGCTTGGCTGACTTTTTCCAAAAGGAAAAGTGAGTGGATGGGCATGTCTATTTGTTGGTAAGAGCGGTCAAGGTCTCTGAAAAATAAATAAAACTCAATCCTCCTCTGCATCAGCATTTGGTGGGGTCAGTGATCACAAGAAACCGCAATGAAATCCTTCTCCTGTCCAAAGCCAGGATGGAGCAGGAGTAACTGATAACCCCTGGCTCCTTGGGAAGGCAGCAGGGGTGGGAAAGGGCTGCAGTGGGAGCAGAAGGAGCGCAAATAAGGGCACTGTCCCTTTAAAAAAAGGGGGGGGCAGTATCAGAGACCTCCCCCACCCCAGGGAAATTAAACAAACCCACAGAAAAAAACCTCATTTGCTAAATTAAGACAATGTGGTCCAGATGTTGGAGGCAGAGTTGCTGAGCAGAGTTTGCACAGCCTGGCTCTCCGGGGGCTGGTTGCTGGCAGCGGGACGGCTCCCTCGCTGCTTGTCACGTCTGTCCATGAGCACAGCCCTGAGCAGCACTGGAAATATTGCCTTTTTTGGAAACCTTTGCTGATGTGGAGAAAAAAAAACCCAACCCCATCACAGCCCCCGCTGCAGCGTCAAGACACCAGCCCGGCCCAGGAAGGCGGCTGGGAAGGAGCGAGCCCAGCCCAGCCGGATTGTTCCCCCTCCGGAGAGGGGAGCGAGGCCCCTTATCACGCTGCAAAATTCAGCCACTCCTTGAAGAAGATAAGAATAATCTGTGATTATTCACACCGCACACCGAGATCCTGGCGGTATCTGATGGGGACAGCAGGCGGAGGCATCCCCTCCGGATACGCACTGACCCCAAAGCATCAGGCCATGCAGGCACGATCCAACAGCGTTTTCCAGCTTGGATTACTTTTTCCCAGGTCTTTTCCCAGTCCCAGTGGGCACCACGGGCACAACCGCAGGGTTTCACCAATGGAGAAGCAGAAAGCAAGAAAAGCCTTGCCAGAGGGGGAACTGCTCCCGGCTGTGAAGCCCTGAAGGAGGTTTCATCACTTCTCCCCATCCCAGCCTCACCTCCCCTTGTCTCTGCCCTGGGGCTGCTCTCCCATCACGTTGGGAAAGTCCTTCTTCTTACGGCCCCACGGACTAACCCCCAGGGCAGCAGTTTTGGAGGGGAGCCTGGCAGATCTTAGAGGCTCTCACCCACCCAAACAGGGTGATTTTAAAGCCATAGCTCAGCTCTCGCATCCTTTTTAGCTCAGTAACCAAAACCAGGCACCTTGTCTTCCTTCCCCCCTCTTTCCAATGAAAAAAAGGTTTTTCAACCCAAACCTTAACTTCTAATCAGTATTTTTTCTTCCTCCCACCAGGCCCCCTTCCCTTTCCAGCCCTTCCAGCAATTAAACTCCTTTAGCCAGAGCTTTACAATGGGTTTTGAAGAATCAAACCAAAAGTAAACTAGGTTTTCAAATGTACATTTTTTGAGAGACAAAGTGAATTCCCAGTGGAAACATCAACATTTCCCAGCCAGCTCAATGTAGCTCCCGCCGACGCACCCAGATAAGGGGCAGATTTTTGGAGCATGGCAGGAACGGGCAGCCCGAGCCCCGTGATGTGCATCTCGAGCTGTGGTCAGAGCCAGATGCCACCGAGGAATGTGTTTAGACACGGTGGGAACAGATGGAGACCAAGCTTGTGGCTGTAACACAGGGACCAGCACCCGTCCCACAGCCCACAGGCTTGTCCCTTCCTACACGTCCCCTGTCCTGCTCGGGGACGTGCTTCAGCCCAACTCAGCCGCCCCCCAGCTCTTACCTCTGCAGAGCACCAGGCGCAGAGGGGGCTCACGGCCAGGCACTGCTTGCAGGAGTTCACCCCGCGGGTGGTGCAGATGTTACCCCCTGAAATAGCAACACAGAGAGCGGTTACAACCTGCAGAGCCCAAAATCCACATGTGTGCTGAAGTCTTAGTGCTCAGCCAACAGCTTCATGAGCAGACACAGCCCCCATCCTCCCCAGGGCTCTGCTCTAACCTCTTATCCCAGCACCAAACCCCAGGTGCTGCCTCCTTGCCCCTTTTATAACCACCTCCCCAGCTTGGTACCAGCTGGGCTTCATCCTGCCCAGGACTGAGCATCATTTCCCACCTGCCAGCTCCTTAAAGGGTCCCCCCATCCCTGCAATGTCACACATGTGTTGGAGTGAAGCCTCCACAGCTGGCGGGGGGGCACATGTCCCCTTGTGCCTCCCTGCAGACGTGTTGGGGCAGCAGGGAGGGC